ATTTCCGCCCAGTTTCAAAAGGGGGACTTTTCGCATGTGAAGCCAACGTGATAACCACTACACTACGGAAACTGCTGAAGTCAAGTTATACGCACGTGCCCAGGCTCAATGCACCATTCACACTTGACTGCAAACATTTCAGATGCCAGACGGCATGATTTCCGAATGGATTCAGTCATAGCTGCTGTGTCATTGGGTGACAGTAAATGTCTAGTACACTTAAAGCCTCCCCTGTATAGCTCTAAGAATTCCCTTTGAAGGTCGGAACAGCGCCACTTTTTTTTCATTAGCCCAAAAATGCTGCTGGCGCAGTCCTCGTTAGTATAGTGGATAGTATCTCCGCTTGTCACGCGGAAGACCAGGGTTCGATTCCTTGACGTGGACTGTTTTCTACCAGTTGCTTGTAAGACAACAGCCATTTAACACAGAGACGATACATATCAATCATGTTCCTGCTGCAAGAGACCGCTTCACATTAACGACATGATTGCCTACCTCGGCATGCATGAAAGGCTGTGCATCACAATGGAAAATTCTGCATCAGAATGGAAAATTCTGCTTCTTTTCATCAAGTTTGCTGGGAACACTAGTCAGAACACTTTGATTGTGTGGAGGAAAGGCTAACCCTGGGGCATTTGTACTTATCCAGTTTCTGACAATTCCACTACGTAGAGTGTTATTGTGTGGAGTATGCAGGGACAAAGAATACTGTTTCCGCCCAGTTTCAAACGGGGGACTTTTCGCGTGTAAAGCCAACGTGATAACCACTACACTACGGAAACTGCTGAAGTCAACTTTTACGCACGTGCCCAGGCTCAATGCACCATTCACACTTGACTGCAAACATTTCAGATGCCAGACGACATGATTTCCGAATGGATTCAGTCATAGCTGCTGTGTCATTGGGTGACAGTAAATGTCTAGCACACTTAAAGCCTCCCCTGTATAGCTCTAAGAATTCCCTTTAAAGGTCGGAACAGCGCCACTTTTTTTTCATTAGCCCAAAAAAGCTGCTAGCGCAGTCCTCGATAGTATAGTGGACAGTATCTCCGCTTGTCACGCGGAAGACCAGGGTTCGATTCCCTGACGGGGAGTTTTCTACCAGTTGCTAGTAAGACAACAGCCATTTAACACAGAGACGATACATATCAAGCATGTTCCTGCTGTAAGAGACCGCTTCACATTAACGATATTATTGGCTACCTCGGCATGCATGAAAGGCTGTGCATCACAATGGAAAATTCTGCATCAGAATGGAAAATTCTGCTTCTTTTCATCAAGTTTGCTGGGAACGCTAGTCAGAACACTTTGATTGTGTTGAGGAAAGGCTAACCCTGGGGCATTTGTACTTATCCAGTTTCTGACAATTCCACTACATGGAGTGTTATTGTGTGGAGTATGCAGGGACAAAGAATACTGTTTCCGCCCAGTTTCGAACTGGGGACCTTTCGCGTGTTAGGCAAACGTGATAACCACTACACTACGGAAACTGCTAAAGACAAATTTTAGGCACGTGCCCAGGCTCAATGCACCATTCACACTTGACTGCAAACATTTCAGGTGCCAGACAACATGATTTCCGAATGGATTCAGTCATAGCTGCTGTGTCATTGGGTGACAGTACATGTCTAGTACACTTAAAGCCTCCCCTGTATAGCTCTAAGAATTCCCTTTAAAGGTCGGAACAGCGCCACTTTTTTTTCATTAGCCCAAAAATACTACTTGCGCAGTCCACGTTTGTATAGTTGATAGTATCTCCGCTTGTCACGCGGAAGACCAGGGTTCGATTCCTTGACGTGGAGTTTTCTACCAGTTGCTTGTAAGACAACAGCCATTTAACACAGAGACGATACATATCAATCATGTTCCTGCTGCAAGATACCGCTTCACATTAACGATATGATTGTCTACCTCAGCATGCATGAAAGGCTGCCCATCACAATGGAAAATTCTGCATCACAATGGAAAATTCTGCTTCTTTTCATCAAGTTTGCTGGGAACGCTAGTGAGAACACTTTGATTGTGTGGAAGAAAAGCCAACCCTGGGGAAATTGTACTTATCCAGTTTCTGACAATTCCACTACATAGAGTGTTAATGTGTGGAGTAAGCAGGAACAAGGAATACTATTTCCACCCAGTTTCGAACGGGGGACTTTTCGCGTGAAAAGCCAACGTGATAACCACTACACTACAGAAACTGCTGAAGTCAACTTTTACGCACGTGCCCAGGCTCAATGCACCATTCACACTTGACTGCAAACATTTCAGATGCCAGACGACATGATTTCCGAATGGATTCAGTCATAGCTGCTGTGTCATTGGGTGACAGTAAGTGTCTAGTACACTGAATGCCTCCGCTGTTTAGCTCTAAGAATTCCCTTTAAAGGTCGGAACAGCGGCACTTTTTTTCATTAGCCCAAAAATGCAACATACTGTTTCCGCCCAGTTTCGAACAGGGGACTTTTTGCGTGTAACGCAAACGTGATAACCACTACACTACGGAAACTGCTGAAGGTGAATTTTACGCACGTGCCCAGGCTCAATGCACCATTCACACTTGACTGCAAACATTTCAGATACCAGACGACTTGATTTCCAAATGGATTCAGTCATAGCTGCTGTGTCATTGAGTGACAGTAAATGTCTAGTACACTTAAAGCCTCCCCTGTATAGCTCTAAGAATTCCCTTTAAAGGTCGGAACAGCGCCACTTCTTTTTCATTAGCCCTAAAATACTACGAGGGCAGTCCTCTCGTCGGAACAGTGCCACTTTTTTTTTATTAGCCCGAAAATGCTACTAGCGCAGTCCTCGTTAGTATAGTGGACAGTATCTCCGCTTGTCACGCGGAAGACTAGGGTTCGATTCCCTGACGGAGTTTTCTACCAGTTGCTAGTAAGACACAGCCATTTAACACAGTATGTTCAAGCATGTTCCTGCTGTAAGAGATCGCTTCACATTAACGATATGATAGGCTACCTCGGCATGCATGAAAGG